TTTCCCCCTTCACTCCCCTCTACCCTGTATACCCTCTCCCACCCACTCCCCCCCCTTTAGTTCATGTCCATGTCATACTTATAAGTTCTTCAGCTTCTACATTTCCCATACTATTCTTACCCTCCCCCTGTCTATTTCCTACCTACAATCTATGCTACTTATTCTCTGTACATTTTCCCCCTCTCTCCTCCTCCCACTCCCCTGATGCTAACCCTCCATGTGATCTCCATTTCTGTGGTTCTGTTCCTCTTCTATTTCTTTGCTTAGTTTCTTTTGGTTTTGCTTTAGGTGTGGTTGTTAATAATTGTGAGTGTGCTATCATTTTACTATACATGTTTTTTTTTTAATCTTCATTTCTTAGATAAGTCCCTTTAACATTTCATAAAATGAGGGCTTGGTGATGATGAACTCCTTTAACTTGACCTTATCTGAGCACTTTATCTGCCCTTCCATTCTAAATAAAAGCTTTGATGGATAGAGTAATCTGGGATGTAGGTCCTTGTCTTTCATGACTTGGAATACTTCTTTCCAGCCCCTTCTTGCCTATAAGGTCTCTTTTGGGAAAGCAGCTGACAGTCTGATGGGAACTCCTTTGTAGGTTACTGTCCCCTTATCTCTTGCTGCTTCTAGGATTCTCTCCTTCATTTTTACCTTGGCTAATGTAATTATGATGTGCCTTGGTGTGTTTCTTCTTGGGTCCAACTTCTTTGGGACTCTCTGAGCTTCTTGGACTTCCTGGAAGACTATTTCCTTTGCCAGAATGGGGAAGTTCTCCTTTATTATTTGTTCAAATACATTTCAGTCTGTTGCTCTAGCTCTTCCCCTTCTGATACCCCTATAATTCGGATGTTGGAATGTTTAAAGATGTCCTGGAGGTTCCTAAGCTTCTCCTCATTTTTTTGAACTCTTATTTCTCCTGTTTGGTTTTTTCTTTCTTCCTTCTGGTCCACTTTATTGTTTTCAGTCCCAGTGTCCTTCCCATCACTATTGGTTTCCTGTGCATTTTCCTTCATTTCTTTTATAGTAACTTGCATTTTCTAATCTAATTTGTGACCAAAATCAACCAATTCTGTGAGCTTCCTGATCACCAGTGTTTTGAACTGTGCATCTGATAGGTTAGCTATCTCTTGGTCGCTCAAAAGGATGAGTTCTGGGGCACTATTTGTGCTTCTTTTTGAGCCATCTCTCTCTCTCTCTCTTTTTTTTTGGTCTGGTTGCTCCTGTTACAGTGAGGGGTGGAGCCTTAGGTGTTCACCAGGGCTGGGCACCCCAGTTGCTAGAGTGATGTTGTATGTGAGAGCGGGGTTGAGAGGGAACAATGGCAGTAGCTCTGTTTTCCGTGGGACCTCAGTCCCTTCCCTGGGATCCTTGGTTGCACGCCCTGCCCTGCTCCACAATTGCCACCTCACTGGGTCTGCCAGCTGCCGCTTGCGTACTCAGGGTCCACCCACTTGCACACCCCGGATGCTTTACGCTCTCCCATTAGCCTTTTGTGTCCAATTCTCCCTGTTCTCTGCGCCGCGACCCTGCACCCGGTTGCTCGTCTCCACCTCTCCTACCAGTCTGGATGAACGGGTCTATTTCAACTTCTTGGCTGTCCGACTTCCATTTAGATAAATTTTCTATCAGTTCTGGGTGAAATTCTGCCTCTAAATTGTTGTTGTCCCAATCTTGGTTGTGCATGGAGAGATGGTGCGTCCACCTATGCCTCCATCTTGCTGGAAGTCCTCTCATGAAACATTTTCTCAACCCTTTACTTTCAGTCTGTGTCTTTTAATCAAAAGTCTGTGTCTTTTTGACAGCATATTGCACAGTGTTGTTGTGTTATCCATTCACTCTAAATATGTCTTGGAGTATTTAATCCATTTGCAGTTAAAGTAATTGTTGATAAATATGTATTTATCACTATTTTATTATTCATATTATTTTACCTAGGACAAAGAAAAGGCAGTACGGGCATCACCTAGCAGCTTGTTAGATATTTCGAATCAGGCCTTGAATCAGAATCTGCATTTTAACAACTCTGTGAAGCACTATGAGTCATTTTAATGACCCCCTCTCTTGCAACATCCCTTATGTTTTTTCACCCAGCCCCCAAATGCCTACCATCTGGAAACTATCAAAATGTTCTCTATATCCATGTGTCTGTTTCAGTTCTGCTTATCCATTTATTTTGTCTTTTAGATTCCATAGATATGTGAAATCATCTAGCATTTGCCTTCTTCTGATTCATGTCACTTAGCACAATACCCTCTAGGTCCGTCCATGTTGTTGCAGATGGTAAGATTTCATTGTTTTTTTTGTTTGTTTGTTTGTTTTTTTGTTGTTGTTGTTTTTATGGCTGAGTAATATTCCATTGTAAACATGCACCACTTCTTTATCCATTCATCTGTTGATGGGCACTTAAGTTGCTTCCACATACTGGCTATTGTAAATAACACTGCAATGAACATATAAAGGTATGTCTTTTCAATTTAGTGTTTTAGGTTTCTTTGAATAAAGACCCAGAAGTAGAAATGCTGGCTCCTTCTTTCTCTCTTGTTACATAGCCTGTGTTTTAAAGTCTATTTTGTCTGGTGTAAGTATTGCTACCCCAGTAATTATTTGTTAGTTCCCATTTTCATGAAATGTATTTTTCCAGCCCTTTACTTTCAGTCAGAGTGTGTCTTCTGATCTGAAGTGAGTCTCTTGTAGGCAACATGTGTAGGGGTCTTCTTTTGTTATCCATTCAGCCACCATATGCCTTTTGGTTGGAGCATTAATTTGCACTTCAAATAAGTGCTAAAATATATTTACTGCCATTTTATATTCATATCCATCCCTCCTCCAACACCTCCGCTCCAATTCACCCTCACCCTCATGTCCAACTTCTTCTTAAAGAAGACTAACATTTCTTATAATACTGGTTCACTAGTGATGAAGTCCTTTAGCTTTTTTTGTGTCTGGAAAGCTCTTTTTCAGTACCTCAATTCTAAATGATAGCTTTCCTAGGTAGAGTAATATTGGTTATAAGTCCTTGCTTTTCATCATTTTGAATGTTTCTTGTCAATCCCATTTGGCCTGCAATGTTTCTGTTCTGAAATCAGCTTACACTCTTATGGGTGCACCCCTGTAGGTAACTAACTGCTTTTCTCTTGCTGCTTTTAAGAGTGTCTCTTTGTCATTAACCTTCAGCATTTTAATTATGATGTGTCTTGCTGAGGGCCTCTTTGGGTTCATCTTCTTTGGGACTCTCTGTGCTCCCGGGACTTGCATGTGTACTTCCTTTACCAGGTTAGTAAAGCTTTCCATCATTACTATTTTGCATAGGTTTTCAATTCATTGCTTTCTCTCTTCACCTTCTGGTACCCACATAAAGCAAAAGTTGGTACACTTAAAGTTGTCCAAGAAACTCCTTAACTATCCTCATTTATTCTGGATTCCTTTTCTTTTTGCTGTACTGTTTGGGTGTTTTCTGCTTCCTTTATCTTCCAAATCTTTGACTTGATCCTCTTTTTTCATCTAATGTACTGATGCTTCCCTGTAATGTATTCTTCATTTCCGTCATTATAGTCTTCATTTCTGACTAGTTCTTTTTTATGTTTCCTACCCCTTTGTTGAAGTTCTCACTGAGTTCCACTACTCTTCCCATAAGTTTATTGACCATCCTTATAACCAGTGTTTTTAACTATGCATCTAGTAAATTCATTGTCTTCACTTTGTTTAGTTCTTCTTCTGAAGTTTTGTTCTATTGTTTCATTTGGCACATGTTTGTCTCCTCATTTTGGATGCCTCCCTATGTTCGTTTCTATGTATTAGGTAGAGCTGCTCTACCAAGAGCTGGCTTGGTAGAATGACATCGTGTAGTAGGTGTCCCATGAGGGTCAAGTGGCACAGCATCCCCATTCACCTGACCTAGGCACTCCACGTATTCCCTTTGTGTGATCTGTGCACCCACCTCTTGTAGCTGAGTCATGATTGCTGCTGGCATCTCAGTGGGAGGGATTTACCCCTGCACCAACTGGTTTCAAGGATGAGCTGCGAACACTGTGGACAATCAGCTGTGCCACAGAGTGGGACTTATTTCGGTGGGGCTGTGGTGCCTGCTGAGTCTGACCTTTGAGTGTGTAACTTGTGGAAGAGGTTGGGTGGTGCTTCAAAATGGTCTGAAGCTGTCCACTGGATGCGCTGGCTCTGAGGCCTCCCAGAAGGTGCAGCCAAGATCACCCTCCACTGCACCCTGCCTATGGCCAACTGGCATGAGGCCTACCTGCAGATGGCTACTACTCGTGCTGGGCTTGGAAGTGCCCAGGAGTGGTCAAGTTGTGAAATAAAGCCTGCTGCTAGTGCCTGGGATTATTTTCCCTCACATTCTACTAATAGTTTGGAATGACTATAACTATAACAGTTGCGTCCAAGTCAGTAAGGCCCATGAGGGCAGGGCCAGGTTTAGTTGACAGTCTCTGAGTCCTCTGTGCCTGACTAACATACAGGTGGCTCCTAATGAGCATTTATTTAAAAAATTTTAAATTAGCTATAGAATATAAATAGCAAGTCTTTCTCTAAGAAACTCATTTGTTCTTCTTTTCTCTCAATATTTTTAAAAATATATTATTTATTTATTTTTAGAGAGAGGGAGGGAGAGAAACATCAATGTGTGATTGCCTCTGGCATGCCTCCTACTGGGCACCTGGCCTTCAAGCCAGGAATGTGCCTGACTGGGAATCGAACTGGCAACACTTTGGTTCACAGGCTGGCACTCAATCCACTGAGCAACACCAGCCAGGGCTCAATGTATTTTTTTAATTTTGAAAATTACTTCATTTTAGAGAAAGGGGAAGAAAGGCAGAAAAAGAGGAAGAGAAACATCGGTGTGAGAGAGAAACATCAGAGCCCACAATCCAGGCATGTACCCTGACCAGGAATGAACTGGCAACCTTTTGGTTTGCAGGAGGATGCCCAACCAACTGAGCCATGCCAACCAGAGTTCCTAATCTTTATTTTTATATACCATTACCCACCTTGTTGACTATACTCCCAGCCGAATTTCCTTGAGTCACTTAATGCTTGTCCCAAAAGGGCAGCTTGATGCATCAGCTTCTTAGGAACACAACCTACATTTACACAAGTACCACCAAGACCTTGGAAAGAAAATAATAGTTTTAATGTTTCATGTGTGTGTTTACACATATGAAGAGTTTGTGTTATTAAAACATAGAAATGACAACTGGTTGTGGGATTAATATCATATGCCACAATAACATGCAAATGGTTAATCCAAAGTTTGTGAAGGAGGCTCAAGGATAAGCAAAAATGTGGATGTGCATTTGAACAGCTTTATAGAGACAATGTCCAAAACTTTCATTTCAGTCTGACCTACAAAGGGATCAGACCGAAGACCAGAACCCCAGCTTCTTGCCTTTACTCTTTGTAAGTCTGACTCCTCTGATCCAGTAGGTCCACTGCAAGGTAAATTATCTTTACTAATATGAAATTCTTGACTATAATTTTTTTAGTAAGTTTAAATTTTTAAAAATGATCTTCATATTGTGGCAGATTTCTGGCAATAGAACCTCAAGCTGGTTAACTAAGGAAAATTTATAGAGAAATTGTTTCTGGGGTGTGGGCAGGAAAAGCAAGGTGGATAGCACAATAGTAATAACTACTAACAGTGGCTCATCACCAATCCTGCAGGAAGGGGCAAGCACACTACATAGGTGCCTCAGACCAAAGAGGGATGGCATGACAAAGGCTGTGGCCTTCCATAGGGGAATGGAGCCAGCTTACAGCAACTAGTACAGAGGAATCCAGGAGAATGAAGACTCCCAGCTCCATTTTCCTCCCTCATTCTGTTCTCCTCCTATTATCCCAACTGTCCAAGCCCAACCAGAAGTCAGAGGGCAAGACTACCTATCAATTCGCCAGCCTTCTGGGACATTAGCAGGGTAGAGACAATGAAGAATGGATTTGAAGCATAAAATCTAGTGTTCCAGTTTACAGTGAAAAGAACATGGAAGGGTGTGCACTCTCATCTACAGCAAAGTCACAGGGCTGGAAGCTCACTGTATACTTTATTAAACTGACTTGGAATGATCACACACACTAATTCAAACTGACCATCATGCAGACTTAAAATCAGTTATAAAATCAACACAGAAACACACACAAAAATGTTAGAGCAAACTTAAATGAGTATGACACACTACAACCACAACAATGTGAAAATATTCATTCATGAGTGCAAAAATTATTATGGCAAAAGTGTTGGAATACTAGGTCGTGAATTTTTTTTTGGCAAGATCTTCCTCAATTATTTTTATGCTATCTTTCTAAATCAGCACTTGTTAACTATACAATAGTCTCAGGCCAGTTACCTCACTGCACCTATGAAACAGGCTAGTTATTGATCCTGAAATTGTTGTGAGGATTAAATGAGATTAAACAAGCCAAAAATGTATGTAAAGAGCAGAGAACAACAAAGAACACCTTACCCCAAGATGTACCCTGAGGTGATGGGACCACAAAATCTAGCACCATCACTTTCTTTCCCAAAATGGCAGCTTCCTAAAAAAAAAAAAAAAAGCCACATATAAAGATCTTGTCACTTTCCTGACACTCCCTAATTTTCCTATTCCCGAAATAAAAAGGCTGTTTGTATCATAACAGTTTTTTCTCTTTATTAAACTAGCTATTATAATAAAATCTTAAGACTGCAGCATCAAAATGGGCTTTTTGTTTAAGTAGCAGAAGAAATTTTTATGGTAATCATCAGGGAAATTGTAGTTTCATTTATTTCATACCTGAGCACATGCAAGGCCACCAGAACCACCACCAATGACAATGAGGTCATAATCATATGCTGAATTTTCCTGAAGAAGCTTCTGTAATAAACCACTCTGATGTGCCTATAGTTTAATAAAAGGAGAGAATATGGTATGACTTATTTTAAAATTGTTTATTTTTATCCTATGTTTAATCAGTATGGTTTTCTTTTATAAAATCTTAAAAACAATCTATAATTTTCATGTAAATTGGAATTGTACATCTATCTGAATAGTATTCAGATAAGATCCAACTAGTTGGACTATATGCCAAAGTACATGTTTGTTCATGTACTCCCAATAGGCAGGAATGTTCATGACTGATAGGTCATGACTGATAGGTCATGACTTTATATCTATCAGATGAGGTCCTTTTCCTTGAGCTAATCATTAAAATGTCATATCCAAGTGCAAAAAAACAGCCAAATACCACTTTTCAATATCCTCTGTACTTTCTTCACCTGTGCTATGTGCTAGGCTTCCTTTTGAAAACAATTCTTATGCATCACCAGCAGGAAATGCACTTCAAATTTTTTCATGGTTTCTCATAAACTGATCTAAACTTTGCAGCTTACTGATAAATTTCCTATACAACACAAACATTTTGCTTTTTCTTTCAGCAATGGTCATGAGCCTGACTGCACTATATTCTCTTGTTCACTTGGCTCTCCTTGTGATCAGAAGTAGCTTAGCTGAAGTTAGAGGTTCGATATATGATTTAGTAATAGTTTTCTTTATAAGTAATCAGTTGCTCAAACCCATTATGTTGGCTTTAGAAATGCCAGCTGGGAACCAGCTCATCCCAGGAAGCACAACGGAAATGCTATGAAACTATAGGACTCAACAGATGGCATGTGGCCCACTGGAAGATGGATGCCTACAGAGGCTTCTGGCACATTCTAAACAGGACTCCTTTGGCCTCCTTACTTTTAGGTGCCATTAAAGAAATTTGTCTCCTAAGCATCTGTCATCCAAGGAAACACCTTTCAGTCTTCAAATAAAATGAATATCTCTACAGCACCAGATTTACCCTGTTACTATTTTCTACATTGGGATTGGCAAGACAAGCCCTCCTAAAGGTGTTTAGGAACTATAATTATAGTACTTCCACCTTGTGAATTAAGTTATACCTTCTAGGACAAATAAAGCAGACTGTCACTGGATAACGACTCTAATTATAGATTAACATATAATGCAGATAATCTGTTTTCCCCCATGAAAAACAATTCTTAATTAAAATTTCAGCTATAAATATTTAATCAATCACTGATTACTATCATTTGCATATATATATAAAGGATACAAGAGAGCAGAATTTTAATAAAAGTAAATAACTAGTTATAAAATAAGAACCGTACTTAGTAAAGATCAGTTTTTATTTATCACTACTTGACTGATTCCTGTTCATTACCGTACTTTAGGAGTCAAAAATTAAAAGTCCACGGGCCTTTGCAAAGCTCCCAGGATTAGTAGCCTTAACAGGAACTCTACTTACCACAGCCTAAAATGTTAGCATTGACCTTATTTTGCTAAACCTAAAAGAGAGAAGAGCCATTGTTTCTCTTCCCATCAGGAACAAGAGACCAAGGTCTCCAGTGTGGCCCACCTGGTGTCTGTCAAATTCACTCAAAACCTTCTGAAGTCTGAGCTGGTAGAAAAGCTATTTTCCATCAAAGTAATCAAGATTGAATTTATTTTGTGTATGGTATAAGTTACTAGTTGAGTCTCATTGGTGGATAAAAGATTTAAATATAAGTCATGACACCATTAAAGTCCTAGAGGACAACACAGGCAGGAAAAACTCAGATATTCCATACAGCAATATTTTCACTGATATGTCCCCTAGAGCAAGGGACACAAAGGGAAGAATAAACAAATGGGATCTAATAAAAATAAAAAGCTTCTGCATAGCTAAAGAAAATAGCATTAAAATGAAAAGAGAACCAACCGTATGGGAAAACATATTTGCCAATGATACCTCAGACAAGGGTTTGATCTCCAAAATATATAAACAACTCACATGACACCATTTTAAGAAGATGAGCAACCTAACTAAAAAATGGGCAAAGGACTTGAACAGACACTTCTCCAAGGAGGACATACAGAGGGTCCAGAGACATATAAAAGGAAGTTCAGTATCACTAGACATCAGAGAGATGCAAATTAAAACCACAATGAGATACTATTTCACACTAGTCAGAATGGCTATCATAAACAAAGCAACAAACAACAAGTGTTGGAGACGTTGTAGAGAAAAGGGAACCCTAGTGCACTGTTGGGATTGCAGACTGGTACGACCACTATGGAAAACAGTATGAAATTTTCTCAGAAAACTGAAAATGGAACTGCCTTTTGACCCAGCAATTCCACTGCTAGGATTATATCCTAAGGATCCTGAACACCAATCCAAAAGAACTTATGCACCCCAATGTTCATAGCAGCACAATTTACAAGAGTCAAGTTCTGGAAGCAACCTAGGTGCCCATCAGTAAATGAACGCATCAAAAAACTATGGTACATTTACACAATGGAATTCTTTTTTAAAAAATATATTTTATTGATTATGCTATTACAGTTGTCCCATTCCCCCCCTTCACTCCCCTCCACCCTGCACACCCTCTCCCACCCACATTCCCTGCCTTTAGTTCATGTCCATGTGTCATAAGTTCTTTAGCTTCTATATTTCCCATACTATTCTTACCCTCTCCCTATTTCCTACCTACCATCTATGCTACTTATTCTCTATACCTTTTCCTCCCTCTCTATCTTCTCCCACTCCCCTGTTGATAATCTTCCATGTGATCTCCATTTCTGTGGTTCTGTTCCTGTTCTAGTTGATTGCTTAGTTTGTTTTTGTTATAGGTGTGGTTGTTAATAATTGTGAGTGTGCTATCATTTTACTATACATGTTTTTTATCTTCTTTTTCCTAGTTAAGTCCCTTTACCATTTCATATAATAAGGGCTTGGTGATGATGAACTCCTTTAACTTGACCTTATATGGGAAGCACTTGATCTGCCCTTCCATTCTAAATAAAAGCTTTGCTGGATAGAGCAATCTCGTATGTAGGCCCTTGCCTTTCATGACTTGGAATACTTCTTTCCAGACCCTTCTTGCCTATAAGGTCTCTTTTGAGAAATCAGCTGACAGTCTGATGGGAACTCCTTTGTAGGTTACTGTCCCCTTATCTCTTGCTGCTTCTAGGATTCTCTCCTTCATTTTTACCTAGGCTAATGTAATTATGATGTGCCTTGGTGTGTTCTTCCTTGGGTCCAACTTCTGTGGGATTCTCTGAGCTTCCTGGACTTCCTGGAAGTCTATTTCCTTTGCCAGATTGGGGAAGTTCTCCTTTGTTATTTGTTCAAGTAACTTTTCCACTTGTTGCTCTTCCTCTTCCCCTTCTAGTAACCCTATAATTCGGATGTTGGATCATTTATAGATGTCCTGGAGGTTCCTAAGCTTCTCCTCATTTTCTTGAATTCTTATTTCTCCATTCTTTTCTGTTTGGTTGTTTCTTTCTTCCTTTTGTTCCACTCTATTGGTTTGAGTCCCAGTTTCCTTCCCATCAGTATTGGTTTCCTGTGCATTTTCCTTCATTTCTCTTATCATAGCCTTCATTTTTTCATCTAATTTGTGACCAAATTCAACTAATTCTGAGAGCATCCTGATCACCAATGCTTTGAATTCCATCTGATAACTTGCCTATCTCTTGGTCGCTTGGTCTGATAGCTTGCCTATCTTTTGGTCGCTTAAAAGTATTGATTCTGGAATGTTGATTTGTACTTACATTTGAGCCATTTTTTTTTTTGGTCTTGTCATACCTGTTACATAGTGAGGGGTGGAACCTTAGGTGTTCTCCAGGGCAGGGCAACCCAGTCACTGGTTTGTGACATTGTATGTGGGGGCGGGGTCTGAGAGGAAACAATGGCGTTTGCTCCTCTGTCGTATTTCAGTCTCTTCTGCCACTTCCCCCATGCTAACTGGGCCTTTCTGGTGCTAATTCCTGTGTGGGTGGGCTTGTGTGTGTTCTAGGACCCTGTGGGTCTAACACACTCTCCTGTGAGGCTGGGAGTCTCTCCTGGCACCTCAACCCCCACAGGTGTTTTTAAATCAGTGTCCTGAGGTTCTATTTCCCAGCGCTGGGACCCTGGGTTGCGCAGTCTATCTCACTGCCCAATTTCACCTAGTGTATCTGTGCACGAATGTGGCCCAGACAGCCAGGAGCCTTGCATGCAGTGCCTCGCATCACAGTTGCCACCTCACTGGGTCCACCCACTGTGGTCTTGTGCTTGGGATGTTTTATGCACCCAGAATGCCTTATCCACCCGGGATGTGTTACACATCTAGTGCCAGTGCTTTTTGTGCCTTGACCCCTCTCCACCCAGCTGCTCAACTCCGCTCCTCCTACCTGTCTGGATGAATGTGTATATTTTAACTCCTTGGTTGTCCGACTTCCATACAGTTCAATTTTCTGTCAGATCTGGTTGTTATCTTGTTTCTAAATTGTTGCTGTCTTTATTTTGGTTGTGCAAGGAGGCAGAGTGTGTCTACCTATGCCTCCATCTTGGCCAGAAGTTACACAATGGAATCCTATGCAGTAGAAAGAAAGAAGGAGCTCCTACCCTTTGCGACAGCATGGATGGAACTGGAGAACATTATGCTAACTGAAATAAGCCATGCAGAGAAAGACAAATACTATATGATCTCACCATTAATAGGAACCTAATCAACAAAACAAACAAGCAAGCAAAGTGTAGGCAAAGACACTGAAATAGAACACAGGCTGACAGTGATCAGAAGGGAAAGGGGAGGGGACCATGGGGGAAAAGGGTGGAGGGTTTACAAGAACAATTTTAAAGGACATATGGATAACAACAAGGAGGGTTGGAAATAGGGGAGGGAGGTGGGGACGGCTGGGGTGGTAGAGAGGGGTGAGAGGAAAAGGCAGAAAACTGTACTTGAACAACAATAAAAAATAAATAAAAATAGTTTAAATTTTTAAAAAAGTAATCAAGATTTTCTGATAACCATCTTACACACTTTCCATCTTACAATTTCTAAAAAACTAATAGACTCCTAAAAACCATCCTATCCCCTTTGAAAGATATTTAAAAGCAAAACTTGAACAAACAGCATTAAAAATCATATACTAACATCATTACCTGGAAAGTTTGGTCACATCCACCCATATGTACTTTATTCACAAAAATATTGGGCACAGTTCTCTGATTAGTGATATCTGACAGCACTTCTTGAACACTGGCCCCATCATCTAAAGAATAAAACATTAAATATGTAAAAACATCAAAAAGGTTCCAAACTTTTGTGAGTCAAATGGAAGTGTTACAATACTCAAATGCTCCCATATACTCACCCATACAAAGCCAGTGTGTTATCTAACTTTATGAAATAATGACTTAAGAGGAGAAAACATCCAAGTTTTCAAGAGAAATCTTAGAAAATAAAGACAATCTACTAATTTCTTTTAAAATAAACCCTTCTAAATTAGATTTTGATATATAATTCAATGATAATGCCAGAAAAATAGGTAAGAATCCTCTTTAAAGATCAAATATGAAGATAAAATCTGCTTCAACAGTAATAATAATGAAAATATTTCCTACAGTTATATTTGGAAAAAAAATGTTTAATCCTTACACAAGGACACATTTTATTTTATTACTTCTAGATAGAAAGGAAGAGAAAGAGAAACATAAATGTGAAAGAGAAGCATCGATTGGCTGCCTCCTATATGCACCCAGATCAGGGACTGGTGCCCAGACCAGGGGTTGCATGTGCCTGCACCCAGATTGGGAAATTGAACCCACATGTTTTGCCTATGGGAGGACACTCCAATCGACTGAGCCACACCGACCAGGGCTGAAAAACCTTTATGATCATAATGCAAAATCTATCCTCTATCCCCCAAAATAAAACCAGGCCACAACTACTTAAGAGTATGTATTTTGTATACTCTTTAGAAAAGTCTCAAAGATTTAAGAACATTTCACTTATTAGGATGACTAAAAGGAGATGGTGAGGTCCCATGAAGGCAGACATAATTTTTTTTTTCCTGTTCAACACTGACAGCACTACAAATCCCAGCCCTACAAATACACATGCATATGTAAAGTGCTTGGTTCATATTAGATCAGTTAATGCATTTTTGACAAGAATTCAGAAGTATAAAGCTAAAAGACTGATGCTCTCTCCTACAATCAGGAAATAGAGGCAGATTCTTTTCATTTATTACAGCTTAATCTATTTTGCTAGAAGTTACAAAATACATCTGAAATGTCTGAAGTACTTCAATGTTAGCAGCTTATACATCTTCCTTCACTCCCCTCAAATAACAAAAATACATAAATAAAAAATCTACACCAAATTATCTGTCATGCAGAGGTTCCTTTTCAACATGGTTGAACCTAGATGAAAAAAGCTCATCTAACCTAAAGAGACAAGAGTAAATTGAAATGAACAAAGCAAATGAAAATAAGTCACTCTTGTTGATATTTATTACAACAACAGTACATACAAACCATTCCACTTACCATCCTGATCCAGTTCCAAGATTTTACATTCAACTCCCAAAGAAGAAAAGAGTTCTTTAACCTGTAACAAACATGTACTTAAGTTTTACTTTCACAAACATTCAACACAGTTATGAAATACAGACACAGTAATAAGGGAAGTCCAAAATAAATGTTCTTCAGAAATATGAGCTCTGGCCCATTTTCTTCCTCTATACATCTTCCCAGAATAATCTCAGCCCATCTCTTGCCCTCTTTTATGATTTGAATCCTCAATTTTCAACTCCATAACTTTTGTCCAAATCCCTTTTCTGAACTCAAGACAGTCAAAAATATTTCTTCACCTGAAATGTCCCCAGGCACCTCACATGCAACATGCCCAAAATAAAACTCATCTTTTTACCACATACCTTTTCTTCTTTCTGTATTTCCTTTCAACAGTCATTAAATCATTCAACAAATATTTATCCAACAAATACCTACTATGTTGTCAAGATATAATAGTAAACAAAATAAATCCATGTCCTCTAAGGGGAAACAGACAAATAAATTGGTAATTCACACTGCCACCATTCACCAATTGAATGAATAAGAAAACCCAGGTCCTTGCTATTCAAATAGAGGACAAAGAAAAGGCAGTATGGGAATCACCTAGCAGCTTGTTAGATATTTCGAATCAGGCCTTGAATCAGAATCTGCATTTTAACAACTCTGTGAAGCACTATGAGTCATTTTAATGACCCCCTCTCTTGCAACATCCCTTATGTTTTTTCACCCAGCCCCCAAATGCCTACCATCTGGAAACTATCAAAATGTTCTCTGTATCCATGTGTCTGTTTCAGTCTGCTTATCCATTTATTTTGTCTTTTAGATTCCATAGATATGTGAAATCATCTAGCATTTGCCTTCTTCTGATTCATGTCACTTAGCACAATACCCTCTAGGTCCATCCATGTTGTTGCAGATGGTAAGATTTCATTGTTTTTTTTTGTTTGTTTTTTGTTGTTGTTGTTTTTATGGCTGAGTAATATTCCATTGTAAACATGCACCACTTCTTTATCCATTCATCTGTTGATGGGCACTTAAGTTGCTTCCACATACTGGCTATTGTAAATAACACTGCAATGAACATATAAAGGTATGTCTTTTCAATTTAGTGTTTTAGGTTTCTTTGAATAAAGACCCAGAAGTAGAAATGCTGGCTCCTTCTTTCTCTCTTGTTACATAGCCTGTGTTTTAAAGTCTATTTTGTCTGGTGTAAGTATTGCTACCCCAGTAATTATTTGTTAGTTCCCATTTTCATGAAATGTATTTTTCCAGCCCTTTACTTTCAGTCAGAGTGTGTCTTCTGATCTGAAGTGAGTCTCTTGTAGGCAACATGTGTAGGGGTCTTCTTTTGTTATCCATTCAGCCACCATATGCCTTTTTGGTTGGAGCATTAATTTGCACTTCAAATAAGTGCTAAAATATATTTACTGCCATTTTATATTCATATCCATCCCTCCTCCAAACACCTCCGCCTCCAATTCACCCTCACCCTCATGTCCAACTTCTTCTTAAAGAAGACTAACATTTCTTATAATACTGGTTCACTAGTGATGAAGTCCTTTAGCTTTTTTTGTGTCTGGAAAGCTCTTTTTCAGTACCTCAATTCTAAATGATAGCTTTCCTAGGTAGAGTAATATTGGTTATAAGTCCTTGCTTTTCATCATTTTGAATGTTTCTTGTCAATCCCGTTTGGCCTGCAATGTTTCTGTTCTGAAATCAGCTTACACTCTTATGGGTGCACCCCTGTAGGTAACTAACTGCTTTTCTCTTGCTGCTTTTAAGAGTGTCTCTTTGTCATTAACCTTCAGCATTTTAATTATGATGTGTCCTGCTGAGGGCCTCTTTGGGTTCATCTTCTTTGGGACTCTCTGTGCTCCCGGGACTTGCATGTGTACTTCCTTTACCAGGTTAGTAAAGCTTTCCATCATTACTATTTTGCATAGGTTTTCAATTCATTGCTTTCTCTCTTCACCTTCTGGTACCCACATAAAGCAAAAGTTGGTACACTTAAAGTTGTCCAAGAAACTCCTTAACTATCCTCATTTATTCTGGATTCCTTTTCTTTTTGCTGTACTGTTTGGGTGTTTTCTGCTTCCTTTATCTTCCAAATCTTTGACTTGATCCTCTTTTTCATCTAATGTACTGATGCTTCCCTGTAATGTATTCTTCATTTCCGTCATTATAGTCTTCATTTCTGACTAGTTCTTTTTTATGTTTCCTACCCCTTTGTTGAAGTTCTCACTGAGTTCCACTACTCTTCCCATAAGTTTATTGACCATCCTTATAACCAGTGTTTTTTAACTATGCATCTAGTAAATTCATTGTCTTCACTTTGTTTAGTTCTTCTTCTGAAGTTTTGTTCTATTGTTTCATTTGGCACATGTTTGTCTCCTCATTTTGGATGCCTCCCCTATGTTCGTTTCTATGTATTAGGTAGAGCTGCTCTACCAAGAGCTGGCTTGGTAGAATGACATCGTGTAGTAGGTGTCCCATGAGGGTCAAGTGGCACAGCATCCCCCATTCACCTGACCTAGGCACTCCACGTATTCCCTTTGTGTGATCTGTGCACCCACCTCTTGTAGCTGAGTCATGATTGCTGCTGGCATCTCAGTGGGAGGGATTTACCCCTGCACCAACTGGTTTCAAGGATGAGCTGCGAACACTGTGGACAATCAGCTGTGCCACAGAGTGGGACTTATTTCGGTGGGGGCTGTGGTGCCTGCTGAGTCTGACCTTTGAGTGTGTAACTTGTGGAAGAGGTTGGGTGGTGCTTCAAAATGGTCTGAAGCTGTCCACTGGATGCGCTGGCTCTGAGGCCTCCCAGAAGGTGCAGCCAAGATCACCCTCCACTGCACCCTGCCTATGGCCAACTGGCATGAGGCCTACCTGCAGATGGCTACTACTCGTGCTGGGCTTGGAAGTGCCCAGGAGTGGTCAAGTTGTGAAATAAAGCCTGCTGCTAGTGCCTGGCCTGGGGCCACTTGACGAGAGATACAAGGCACACTGAGGCCAGATGTTGCTTGTTTATTTTAGGAAAGTCTGAAGCATGAACCAAGACAGGCCATTTGTATGGAAAAGCCACTGGAAATGGCTTGGGTTAGGCCCCAAAACTGGATGGGGTGGGTCTCAGAGAATCACCAGGGCAGGGTAAACCGTGTTACCCAGGTTGATGGAGACTTAGATATGGCACCCCCTGGTGGCTCTGTGAAGGGAGGACCTAGAAAAGGAACAATGGCCTCTGCCAGCACTTCTGTCTGGGAGAAAGTTGCCCCTGCAGTTCTTGCCCCCATGCCTGACTACTCCTTGTATGTCCCTGGTGCCCCAGCACTGGAACTCAGAGTGAGTGGGTCCAAGGAAGTCCAGGTACAGGCCCTTTAAGAGGTACACTTGGGACTCCAGCAGCCCTCCTTTCTGAATGATGGTTGTTCTGTAGTTTAGTTATAATTTTGATGTGGTTGTGAGACGATTTGAGTACCACATTTACCTAGCAACCATCTTGACAAGAACCCCTGATATCTTTTCTCACCTATTAAAAATTTTCCCATCTATTTAAAAATTCCTGTATTTTCAACCATTATCTTTTGGTTTTAGATGTGCATCTTGGAAACAGCATGTTAATGAATTTTGCTCTTTACTCAACCTGAAAACCTGACCTATTCAGCTTTATTCTAATATGTAAAAGATGGCTCCTATGTTGGGCCTCTTCTGCTGTTGTTTTGTTTAAATTAAGTTTCATGCTGTTTCTTTATACATTCTCGCCTTCAAAAAATTTCTTTTACCTTAAAGTTCTACATTTAATTTCTAACCTGGAGATTATGCATACATTTTAAACCATTGTAGTAAACCATATTTTGCCCTGTAATGTGCTCCAATGTATAATGCATGTGCAAGTTTTTGGCCCACACCTTCAGGCAAAAATCTTTCATTAGAGTTTTTTAATTCAATTATTGATTGATTGATTGATATTTAGAAACAAAACTGATTATTGTATTGCAGGGTATTATTTTACATACTGATATCATTATTGGTTTCTAGAGTTACACTTTTAATGTATAAGCATAAATAAAAGAATTAAAAATATTTACATAGATATGGAGTTAGTACTACCCATGTATAACGAGCATGCTTATTTCTCCCTCAAAAATTTTGGCAAAAAAGTGTGCATTATACCTGGCAAAATACAGCATTTTTCTCAATCAACATTAAGAATAAAAGTATCTACATCATCAACCTGAAACAAGATTTCAGCATGCCTTTACTTTCCATTCTCTTGCCTCTTAAATTCTGTTAACTTCTCTTGGTCACACATAGAGCCTATGACTAAAAATTGCTAGGCCCCAAATTCCATGTAATGGCCACCTAGGTATATGTTTGTATAGCTGCTAGTGCTGGTCCTGGGGTCACTTGGCAAGAGGTTTGGGGCACTCCGAGGCCAGATGTTGCTTTTTTGGCATTTGTGAACACCTGAGAAATTTAGGGTATGTCCTCGGCATAAGCCAGACAAGTTGTTTGTACAGAAAAGCTATGAAATGTTGCAGGTGAGCCTGCATGTAGGGTGACATAAAGTCTCAAGAGAATCACCAGGGTCAAGTGAACAGTATTAGCCTGGTTGATAGTGACTCAGATGTGGTGCCCACCTACTGGCTGTATAGGCGGAAAGCTCAACAAAGGAACAGAGGCCTGTGCAAACACCTTTTTCAAGGAAAGAGCTGCTCCTTCAACCCTTGCCCCCAGTCCAGACTATTCAGTTCCTGCCTATATGTTCCTGGAGCCTTTTGAGTTGCTGCCTCAATTCTGGATCTCAGAGCAAGTAAGTTTGAGTAAGTTTGTGTGCAGGCCCTTTAAGAGGAAGGCCTGGGTTTCCAGAAGCCCTCCTTCTCACTCAACCACAAACCCTCCTGGTTTTTATAGCCAGATGTTGTGAAGACTTCTCTTGTGAAGAACTGGAACCCTGGGCTGGGGAAGCTGGTGTGGGGCTGGGACCCCTCGCTCCTGAGGGGGGACCTCTGCAGCAAAGATAACCCTCCAAATTTT